ATTTGAAATGAGAAAAGCCGTAAGGGGTAAGTGGCCAATGGACAGCACCAGCAAACCTATTAAATGAGCTCCTGGTTGATGTGGTTTTATCAGCAAGAGTTATTGTATTTATCCCTTCTCACAAGTATAGGGCCTAATAAGCATTCATAATTACCTCAGACAGTCTCCCTGTTCAACAACGTGCAACTTGACCGTGTATTAACATTTGATAATGCCCGCTGAGATGTGATAATGCCCGCTGCGTAAAGCACGCACTGGCACCTGGATACAAAAGCGTTCAATCGATTCCGATTGGTCGAGAGTCTGTGTGCACGTAGCTCGCCACACGCGCGCCAAGTCCATATAAGGGAGGTTCTTTAGGACATCTTTTGGATAAAGAATATACCGTAAAATGGATGGGGGTGTTCGGGAAAATGAAAGTAAAATTCTACAACAAAATCGTTGACTTCTTTTGGCTCTCTGACTAAAAAAGGTAGGCCTATTTATGAATGGGAATATTAAGTATGTGCTTGGACAGTCTTAAACGCGCGTTTAAGACCGGCCCAGCTCACATACGTTATTCCCTTATTACAACCCGTTACTCCAGCCGATCACCCATGAGACTAGTGGCAGGGCCGGAGATGGTGGTTTCGATCAGCCCTACAAGGTTAGAAAACAAAAACCTGACCCATTTACAGACGCCGGTACCAAGCCAGCCTAGTCTCCATCCGGAACGGAGATGGCATACAGAAGCAAAAGTTTACCATTTTCACGGCACCCCTGTCAACACATGGTGACACTTGACCATCCAGCATTATTAAGAGACTGCCCTCAACAGGAAGCACGAATGTGGGTCGACATCTTTCGATTGATTCGTTATTATTAATGTTCAGACTCACAGAAATAGAACTTTCGGTGTTGTACTTTCGCTTGTTATTTGCGATGCATAGCTAAAATTAAACTGGGAGGAGTGTATGCGTCTATAGTTCCCGTCTAAACTGGGTCATTACCGTGCAATGCATATAACAACGCAAGTGATATATTTTTGGGGACCCCACTGCTTTTCAGATAACCCTGTCTTGTTTCTTATTGTTGACACTAAAATGAAACAGCACATTTTACGGTCTTGTCTTAATTAGGGAGCAATACTACTTCGATCACTCAAAGAGAAATCAATCCAATATAAGCTTCATTTGAAATAATAATAACAAACATAGACACACTAGAATGCGGTTAAGTGCAAAACTAGATCTCAGATAAAATGTTTTCAGCGCCCAAGAAAAGTCAGAGCCAAGTGAATTTGGTTTCCCGACTGTCTCCTAGCAGCGTTATACTGGTATCTCGTCTGCTCATCTTTTGCTGTCTCATGTATAGTATGGGAAGTATAATTCGCATGGGAAATCCTTCTTCACCTTACCCCACTGTAAACTGGTTGGGGGCGTACGGCGATAGGTTGCTGCAATGCATGCGATGATCAAGTGCACGGAGCCCATTCGAAATTCGAGATAATTTAACCTATTATGCCCTGACTTATCGACGACGATACGAATAGTACAAATCATGCAGTTCTGTTTCATTTTTTTTTAGTTTAGTATAAGAAGTTCCAAGTGACTAATGTCAAGGTTTTTAGTGGAATCCCACAACTTCGACTGCTTAGGTTTCATCATCCCTCTGCTTTTAAGACAACACTCTCCCACATGATTCGGCAGTGTCTTCCCCATTGCATCTCATGCATGTTTCTTTCACCTGTTTCTTTCCACCACCATTTAATTACAATCTGCACTAATCACAGAGTTTGTGACCATAATTATGCGTAACTGTTTTGTTACGGAACCCCTAATAGGACATGCCAAAAATAGAAGGAAATCAGGCTTATGACGATAACTTCCTATACAAGCTGAACAAAGAGCATAATACCCATTTGAGTAATGTCGCAAACGCGGATCCAGGCGAAGCACGTGTTTTACCTTAACAGACATCAGTTTAGCCATGGGTAAGGCGGATACAGTCCAGAAATACGTGGCTTTACCCTGTTTATTCAAACACGAAAGAAAGAAACCATACTCCAGAACAAGCCTTGCCTGATTAGGTTTGTGACTAGAGGTACAAGAATGACGTCACTTCTGAAAATCTCATCTGAGATTTCAGACAATGGAGTCACTTTTCTCCACTTGATCATTTACAACATGGAATTATTCCCAACCATTAGGGAAATGATACTCGATTAAACACCTAAAACAGGCACGTTCCAATATGCTACCCAAGATACAGCCCACAGGCCCGACTTTATGATCCATATTTTTATGAGCTGCGACCGGTCGTTTCTTCCGCATCTGGTCATTCGTTCACTTTTGACAGCCTGGACCTGACAAACGCACTCACGGAGGCGTGTCTAACTACTCTATGTCAGACGTCTGCTGCTGGTACAAACACAATACATGCATCGTTGCCAGATACAATGAAATTTATGTAGAGTCTCAGTACATTTCATGGTTGCCGCTTTTGCAATCATTGCAGTGACGGCTCGCCGCGTTACCCCCCCTCGTTGGTTTTTCTTAATCTGCAGTTTAACAATTTCGATGTTATTTCGTATTGCACTGTAAGTGGGGTTGGCCATTCCATCGTTAAATTCAATTACTGCAAAGTAAATGAGGGGTATTTCATTACTAGAAAATAGTTTTTTGGTTTGTAGTTTTCCCTCTGCGCATATGCAATAAATATTGAGTTTATAATTGTGAAGCATTTAGAAATGGCTCTCGCTCGCTCGATGGACAGGTGTCTTAACTATTAATTCTTTCCCCTTTTCGGACACGAGTTATGACCACTGTGACCCCGTAAATCAGTTCGTTCATTTAGTCCGGTCAAGGTTAGTCATTTTGTTGCCATTTTGTGAGGTCATAGAGCTAAGTCTACTGAAATCCACATTGTCTCAAGTCTTATTCACTCGTATATGTGGCCCTTTCCCTTCATTCAAGGACCTTTTTTACGCCAACAGTGAGAGCTTTATGACAATGACACTTGCTCCCACCTCAGTCCGAAGTTTTAACCTTCGACGATATTTACCGTACTCGCTTCCCCGGAAAGACTGAGGCGAGTTGAATTGACCAACTAAGTTTGATCTTGTTTAACTTTCCAATGAGTAAGCATAGCTGTCCCCTTAATAAATTGCACGACTATAATTTCTCCACGATTCATGTTGTTGTAGCCTTTCTTGTCAATTCTGAGAAACTTTCAAATTCCAGCCAGTGCACTAATGTCAAACTAATGGGAGAATCCGAGACTGCAGCTGGAACTGGGGAAATAGCCAAGTTGGTGTCCATCTGGATGTTTTGGGACCCGATCACTCTGCCCCCCCCCCATCCCGAAGTACTAGACTGCCGTCCACAATAGTGGCTACGCGCCCTCCTGTAAAGCCTGGTTTCCATATAGACATAAGAAACGCAGAAAGCAACGCAACAAAGACGCAAAATGCAACGTGAACATAAAAGAAACGTCAAACGGACGGACGCATCCGGACGTTTCGCCGACAATGCAGCCAAACCAGCCCGCGAACGATCGGTAGGATTTAGCCAGGTTCAAATTTGCCGACTGTCTGCGTTGACGAGCTGTGGTATCCCAGGCTTGACAGTGTTCTCCGATGTCATCTCTGTACAGATTCAATTTTTGTTGTCAGACTTGACCTCAGTCTATATACCTTTAAAAATAGCAACAACGTGACTTCCACTCTAATCTCAGGCGCTCTTGCCGACTTGGCCGTCAAGGCCCAGGCAGCCTCAATCTGACCGCTGTAAGAAAGAATATTCGTACCCCCGTAACACCAGAGAAGACCTTCTGCATTATTATCCCCCGTCCCCAATCTGACTCCTTCAGAAAGCCCTAATTCCTTACTTTCACAGGATGTAATAAATTCAGTCAGCTTTAACAGTCACCTTGTCCTTGCTACTGTCATGGTCGACCATTAAGACATTAAGAGGAAGTCAAATAAGCCGATCGAGCCCATACAGAATATAACGGGGACACCTAGAGTAGTTGTGATTTAAACGAGCAAATCACCAGTGGCTATGGCCGATGGTATAACACCCGCGTTTTGGAATTGGATTCGGCCGCTTCTTTAGAGGCTCATGTGTTAATTGTTGGTCGTAGTGGCCACTTATGTGTACAACACATGTATATTTTTTTCTGAAAAACCACTTTGCAACACTCAATTTGTCAGGTACAATGAGGCGTTTTTAGTGCAGCCGCGATTTCGCAGTTACAGCGCCACCTACAGTTACTGTTATGCCATTCCAAGATCAAAAGCTGATTCTTTCCCAAGTACAAAGGTGAAAGATTGACCACTTATTCCTAGAGTCACAGAATTGTGTTAGCTGGTTTAGTGTATCTGAAATGTATCCATTTCCTCTGGAAATGAGATCATAATGCTATGTACATTATTATTTCATTCATTTCTTGATTAATATAGGCTCAGTTGACATGTAAAAAATCAGTGTTTTAATACACACTTCGTCTACGGTGTTATCAAAGAGGTCTTCGCTTTACATAAAATGTTCCAATTGATGTGTGTTGTTGTTCTGGACTCCTATGTTCCCGAAATGCTCCTTTCATCGGGCCATTCATTTTTTTCTACTGAGGAAATTGTCAGCCACATAGTCTGGCAGGCAGCGGCCCGGAGGGTAGTTCTCCGAAATAGTTCAGCTCCGCACAAAGAAAGCAATAAGTCACTGCTTTGACTGAGTGACATGTAAGTCTGAACAAGTCTGTAATTTATTCCCGCTTATTGTTTCTCTTGAGTCGGTAGTGGGTTACAGTGTGGGCTGAAGTTACTCTGTGTACTGAACATGCACTGTACACGTATTCATTGCTCCAGATGGTTATAGCAAGCACAAGACGAGTGCCGAACTAGCATTGGTCGATGGACCCAGACGTCAGCGATAAAGTGCCAGTGACCGCACAGCAGTGAGACTGTTGTGCATACATGTACTGTTACATGTACATGTACTGTACACGCTTTATGTACTGCACCTTACTACATATCCAACGGCGCGTGAAAACTCCCCCGTTAGTTTGGTCACAGGACAAGCAAGGTGCGCGGTGGACAATCGGGGCCCCCGTGAAATACGCGCTTTTGAGAGAAGCATGGTGCAAAAATAATGATCTCCAAACTTGTTCCTTTCAGATCCGGTGCCGACGACTAGGACAAACAGTCACAGACACCTACATGTACACATCATTCAGTTTAGTGGGCTGAGGATTATGGATGTGATCGTCGGTGCGAGATCCTGATCGCAGGCTTTTTCGGCTCCTTTTTATTTTCAACCGGAGGAACTCTATATAGGCCTATTGAGAATTCATCTACCGATCTGGAATCGATTTTGTTGCAACGCCACTAAGTGCAATCAACGGAATACTGAAAATTTGAGCTGCATCTCACCGATAGTCAACTTTGGGATATGATATTTGGATCGAGGAGGTAGTGACTCTTCGTGGACCCATACGGACTTTGCCTACATCCCAAGGATGTCGTGGAAACTTATCTGTGTGTTGTTTTTGTGGTTGGCGCTCAAAGGAATTCCGTGTTCAGCCAAGTAAGACTTTCATTTCACAGTTTACAAGAAACTTTCCTCAAACTGAAGTGGGATCCTTCATAATTCATTTTTTTTATCAGTGTGAGGGATAAAAGAGGTTTTGGCTCCACACTGAAGTAAATTTCGCGTGAATCTTTGCAAAGAATGGAAATATTTGGGAACGACATTCCGACATGTCTGAAGTTACAGGGTGTGTTGTTAATGGACTGAAAGCATCCAGTATTCGCAATTCAAAGTTGCCAAAGAAAGCGGGAGGGTGTTTTGAATTCCCCATGTCAAAAAGTGTCGGTAAACTTGGGGGGGGGTCCCACAATCGTTCGTAATTCGCAATGTCATTTGTCCGTGTTATCCACGGGAAACTGCTTTTCCTCTGTTCGTTGGTCCATTTGTTTGCCTGCTTCATCGCGGTTTTGGAATAGTGGGTCAGATTTCTTTATAACCCTCGAAACGCCAAAGCGCTAATGTAATACTGATTTACAAGATTGATGAGTAGAAAAATTGGAAAAAGAATGACGGGCCGAAAGGCCATCTACCAGGCAGCCCAAATAAATTCACCTCTGACAGAGTTAAGGAAGAGTATAGCGTACACATTTCAGCGCTGAACTGAACTAAGTTGAATGTCCCTGAGAGGTGGCATCTATATCCTCAAAATGACCTTCGATATTAAAACTTCATTACCCAGTCCTGCCATTCAAGCTTGTCTTATAGTAGTGAGTTAGTCATTCGTAACTGCTGGCGCCACGCAGGGACACGTTAAAGAATTCCACGGGATGGTTTGTTATAATTTTGTGTACATGGGGATTTTGCACTTTAATATAAAAATTGTCTCTCTCTTTAGGAAGATTTAGAGATATTGTTGTTGACTCGGCAGTTGAAAAGTACATTTGGCACTGAAATTGAGATTCAGATTTCGGAGATCTTGAAGCGGTTGTTACTGTCTTTTTGTATTATGCTTGGACCGGATGCCTTTCCTTTACTTCAGAAGTTGAAAGTCTCTTCCACCTTGACACAATCTTGCTGTCATATATAGGCTGCCAGCTGCTTATTGTAATAATTCGAGCTGTAAGCACCGTGATCGAGTCCTTGCAATGGTCTTTCGATGACTCCGCGGTTACTTTACGCGCCTTATCATCACTTGAAGTGGTTGTCAAAATTACGAAGTGACATTGACCACATTCAGATTCCCAGTTCCCAGGGGCTCGGGCAAACCTTTGCAGATCTCCAGGGTTCCTGGCATGCAGGCTGATGTCACGGAATGTTACTTATGAATGGTTATTTCCTTGAAAGGGGGTTGTCCCTGTGTGCTTGTTTATTTCATGAACAGTTGTAGTTTGCAGAGTAGTATTATTCAAGTCTCGTCGAAATTGCCAACGGATCGTCATTCTGACGTGACTTTACACTTTACAGACGAAAAAGCGCGAAATAGAACAAGGGGAGTATTGACGGGTTGTTGATGTGCCGCCAAAATATATACATATTTGGAAGGGACACCATCTGCGGATTCCTTCGCAGGAGCGCCCGTTTTTGCGGAAGATAAATGAGTCCTGAAGCTATTTTATTCTCAAATGGAATTCTGAGAAATGTGTAGCCTGTCTGTAGATGGCAAGTTCAACGCAGCTCAGCATGAATACTGCATGAACTTAGTTACGGTGTGCTGTGCAGTGGCTGCATGTGTGTACTTTATAACACTGGCGATTCACAATAGTGCGCCACCAAGAGTTTGCAACACTTTGGCCAATCATAACGTGCGAAATTTGTCGACCATTTCCAAACGCGCGTTGGGTCGACAAATATCGCGCGTTGCAAACTCTTGGTGGTGCACTATTGTGAAACGGCCGTATTAGGAATGAGGGTTAAGTTGAAATTTCGTATTCCAACTTCAACTCTAAGTAACACTGTCGTTGGTGGCATTTCTCCCAACAAAAAGCCCTGGAGTATGCCCACCCCTGCGACGTTCGCTCCACTGGATAACCCTCCCTACCTGCATCTTTCCTCCTTGAAAGATTTCATATTAAGTGGGAGAAACAATAATACGAAACTTTGAAAACAGTCAAAATTCCCTCAATAGCAGTTGTAACAAAATGCAAAATCTAATAGGAAGTTCCTTACCCCTTGTATTGCCTTGTTTTTTTTCCCTACCGGACAGGGGAAATCCAGGCAGGCCTCTGTTTACTAACGGTTTTCACTCGGCACTAGGAGGACGCACTAAATACCCCTTTTATAGTCACGGAAGGCCTACAAGCCGCTGGCGACCCTCAACCCAGTACACGACCCGATGGCAGCCAGGCACAAGACCGACTGTGACTACGACAGGAGCAACCTGCAGGTATGGTCGCCGCTTCGGATGCTGCTATGGCTGGAAGAGGGACGTGTATGGACGCTGCCAACGTAAGTCACCCTTACCAAGTATACATTTTCAGACACTTTCAGAATTGTGATGGTGTGTTGAAGAAACCTTTAAGCTTGGTTTTCTTCACGGACGGATATAAATAAATATGTAAGTCAGCTTTTCTCTCTGATAACAGAGATTCTTGAAATGATCAAGATCGGATATGATTTGTTAAAATTGTCCACTCTGTTGATTACGGCGCATTATAAACGTCACTGTGTCTGTGATGCGTGTACAACAATGGTCACTGAGATTTTGGCCTGTGACAAGAGGAGAAAAAGCAAGGTCAATGCAAAGAGTTTGGACAGAAAAATAACGGAGAAGAGTCGTTTCCAACTTTGACTTTGCAAGTAATCGGCACCTCCTTGTAGATCCATAACCTTGACTCTGGAGCTTGGCGCTGGACCTCTGGAACTAAAATCTGTAGACTGCAGAGGAGATAGGGGAGCTTTCCACAACGGACCTCGGATGGCTTGTCTGGTCAGCCTAGCACTGCACTGGGTATTATTTTTTACCCATTGTGGTTGATCAGTCAGAAATCTCTCTAGGGAACGACTCCTGGAAATCGCGTGCTTGGCCCGTAAAGGCCGCGACAGAAGTCGTATGACTCGCCGCTGTTGGCACCAGATCAGATTTAGCGTGATAGCTGTGTTCGAAACTGTGCAGGCGTTCGAAAAAGTGAAAACTGTGCCAGCTGAATTATGAACGCTCCACTTCTTCGTTTGTGCTCGCATGAATAGGCTCCAAAAGTGAGTACAGTGACCCCTCATGTTCATGTTGATGTAATAATTTAATAGGCCTATATTGCAAAAGAGAAAACTAAATTTGTCACACGTTAAGACTCAGCATATAAGATGGGAAAATTGTCGGCGAAGGTTGAGCAAAAAGTGATGACAACTTGAGAGTTTAATGGAGAAGTGGCCATTTTGCAATCAACGCTCTTATCTTGGATCGACTTTTTCAGTACCTTTAAACCGATAAATCCAAAAAAAATGTGTTAAAGGAACTTTGAAGCTTATATGACGACTTCGTTATTTTGGTCTCGAGGGTTAACCTTTTCATGGTTATATTCTTAGAACCTAGAATAATGATTGAATTGCATGCCAGTTTATCGTACGTGAAAGTGTGACGACCAAGATGGTGCTGGTGGAAAGCAAACTGAAAGCAGCGTACCAAGTAATCGAAGAGGGGGTACCAGTTTGTCCGTCGCACCGTTTCTCCTAGGGAGCACTTTAAAGATCACTTGCTGGAGGTAATGCAGAATAATAAAGCCAGTGGTCGTTTTAAGAATTACATTACATTTGGACAATACTGGGGAAGAGGTGATCCTATTACGAATAATCTACCGAAGTAGGGAAACGAATGCCGATGTCACCATTTGAGCAAGACCTCTGTGGATGTAAACAGCCGCATAATGACGCCAACTGGTCGTGTCCTGAGTGACCTCATGCCGCGGAATGCCCATAAATTTCACCGGCCGTACTTGTCCAACAAGCAGCCCTGACCGTACCCCTTGCGCGAGGACAGGTGACGGGAGTCGTTGTTGTCATTTCGACGGAGGCGGTAGCTGCAGAAGGCGCCTTCGATACGACCACAGGCGTGGGCTCCAGCCGGGCTGTTTGGTGCGCTTTAATGTGTAAAGCACATGTTGCGTTGTGATTGAGCAAAACTGTTGGTCACGGTGGCGTGAAAAGACACGGTAGACGGGCTTGGTATGCCCATAGAGCAAGGACCCACCTCAGTGAAATCACGCTTCGTCATGAATTATCGGTAGAGAATTCTGTTCGTCTGGTGGGAATAGGTGGTTAAATACACACAACGTCGGAGGAGCCAAGGATTTTGGTGGTGACGACACTCACGGCATTCCAGTTTCATGACGTCATTTTGTGCTATTCGTATTTAGCAAATTTGCCACACTTTGTTACGATTCTATGTGATTTAGTTCTCCAGGGCATGTTGGGCACTCGGTATCTTAAACAGTAATCGGCGTCTTAGACGCACCCGTCAATTTATTGGTGCTGGTTTATAGCCTTACTCGTTTGTGAGTTAATTAATTATGATTTTTCTCCTCTGTGTTGCACCAGTTTATCTCAATCATTGACCGCTGTTTTGTCGAGGCTGATATTTTAATCCATATGTAGATTAACAAAGAAACTGACAGGATCTGAATCTGATCCGCTTATTTAATAACTGCGTAGCTGTAATTGTGCTTCAGACCAGCGCCCCTTGTCAGATTTATTTACATATCGGGGGCCTTCCAAAAGTGCTTCTTTAGTTGAGAGCATTGGCTTATGGAGTGTTTACATGTAGTTAGAACCTTTGAATCCCTATTGATTACAAGTAAACCTACCTGGTTTTGCATGGTGACCGGTTGACCCAGTCAGAAATCCTGTTCAGCAAGACTTGAGGTAATTCATGATTGATTCATGAAGTTTGGGAACCTGCTTTGGAAGGTTCATTCAGGAATTCAACGGAAGCCGGACCTTTAACACTCCATCCCTCTGCACAGCGTGCTTACCTGCACAGCCACAATGCTCCAGACTGCCATTTCTTTTGACAGAAAGGCAAATATTGACAAAGCCAACAATCCATTATATCAGTTGATTTGGCATTACCCATGACCTTCAGCACAACCATTCGCACAAAGTGTTGGAGCTGTGGGTGAAAGGTAGAGGGTAAACCCCGGTATTGTCTTCTTTTTCTCTGATTTCTTGATTACTTTGGTGCCACAACGTGACTACCGGTATATTATGACATTTGTTCCAATGCCTCCTTGTCCCAAAGAAACGTTTCAGTAGAAGCTTTAAACACCTTCTGCTTTTATACCACTTTCTTTGACTTAGAAAGTGAAAGGGGTGTTAAATACCACTGACCTCAAAATGCTTCGGGCAAGGCTTTCATAAAAAAAGGAATTTCATTTCCCTATTAGTTATTTATCTCCAGCAAGTTCTTTCATGGTGAAGCAACGTTTTGTCAAATTGTACATTTCACGGCGTATTGTCCATTGAGACAGCTTTTCGGTTGACTTCTGTAGTTGTGATTGCAACGACACTCTCGGTGGAAATACAGTTCACCTCCTCGGCACGACCGAAGGCAATCTCGTAGGGCAGCGGGTTCAACGATAGTATTAAGCTGTCCTGTCGGCGTGCGACAAGTGGGGTTTTTATTTTTTTGGGGGGGTATGTAAAGGTTGTGTGGGTCGTGATAAATTCCAGCGTGATTTATTAAGAGGAATTCAACATTTTGGAGCAGCCTGATTATATATCATGTATGTTCACCCCTTCCACTTAGTTTGTACGCATGCGCTAAAATTCGGCAAAGTCGTGATCACTTTCTGTTGCTTGTTTAAACGGCGACGCCAGCGAGCAGGCGACTATACCAAAATCCATCTGCAGAGATCTTCCGCATGGTGTAAAAGTTTGCTGAATTTATACCACAGAAATATAATCAGGCTTCAGATATCATTTTGTGATGTGTTTCTTTATATCATAAATGACATTTGGAAGAAAATGGGATGAAAGATGTCTGTGTACGTCACATTTCCAAACGTTAAAAAAGGGGTATTTTAAACTTGTAAACTCAAATTGTTCTATATTTTTCCACACATGCTGCATATCTTGATAACTGAAAGAGTGTTTGAAAAACGTTACCATGTTATGTTTAAGTTATTGCGAATTGTTCTTTGTTACTTAGTTTTGGCTCTCTGTCGACCAGTCAGCCATGATTTATGTGTGCACGTGTGCACGTTCATGTACAGTACATGTACTCCATCAACGCACATGTTCTACTGTGGACAAATGATTTTCGAGCAAAATATTCGATTCGCAATAACTTGAAAACACTACATGTACCGATGTTTTTATCGGGTCTTAATACACACGGCACTTTATTTTGTTTGTTTGGATAAACTGGAGAAGTTGTTTTAAAATGGGAAAGACCGTGAACATATTTTCTTTCAAATCTGTTTATTTTTTAATCACTTTTTTTTCAGAATTTGTTTCGGATTTTGAGCAGCTGGCTTCGTATAATACAGTGGTTTAATGTTGTCTAATCAATATTTAGCTATCGGGTTATCTCCATGAACTTTATTTGTTTGTATTTTGCGGAAAGAAGTCGCCTTCCTCGAAACCCAACCGCTAACTCTCAACTAAGTGATGCACAAGAGCATGGGAGAGAACATAGGTGATAGGGAAAGCTTGCTGAAACTGTTTCTAGAACCGTATGTCGTGAACCACACGTTAATTCTCGAGATTTGAAAGAAAAAGTGACAGGCCTAGTCCAGTTGAAAACAACCGTGTAAAGATACTGTTTTTTTTTTAAAGCGAGTCAATTATTTTGTTTTTTTAACCCTTCACTTTATTCCCCCTTCGTCATCCTCCATGGTGACTGCCTGGCCTTTTTTGTCATAATTAAAAATCCAAATCCAAATATCTGAGAGGTAGAAAGAATCAAGTGCGTATAGTTTCAGTCATTGCTACTACTTTTTAAGGGTAAGCCTCAAAAGTAGTAATATGTCTCTGGCACATTACACGCACTAAAGGAACATCCTGCGTTACTCCTCCGCATCTGTTTTGCTTTATTGAGTTACTGGCCAGTAAAACCTGTTTTCTGAAAAATACCAAACAGGCACTAAAATAGTATGCGGTGGTTAATTTTAGTTTGGTCAAACGCGCTTATCTTGATTCTCTGCGATCGCCTTTTCCCCCAGTGGAGTGATGGAAAATCGCTGGCTTCGTTAGCGCAGGCAACTAAGGATGTTCAGCGAGGAACCCTCCTAACCCAATGATGGGCTCAGCAGATAACCTTCGCAGTTAGGTGCACGGTTGCGCGGCCGGCCGGAACCGTACGTGTCACTACCTCAACCGCCCCCGACCACACTGCCGTACACCGGTGACATTTTATCTCGGTAGTTCCGTGAACTTCCCCCACAATTCAAAACGCTGTGCTCAAAATGGCCGCCGTTCCTCCGGGAAGGACGCCAAGGAATGTATTCAGTACC